GACCAATATTGTCTCATTGTTTTCTTTTACTCTATTTTGTCTCTTGTATTATCCTTAGATTGTAAGCTTTGTGGGACAGGGCGGTCTTTTTGTTCGTGTTTGTTCTACCACAGTGGGATGTTGGTCCATGACTAAGGCTTTTAGGTGCTACAGTAATACAACTACAGTGCTTTTGCAGTAAGCCACTTTTCATGGCCCTGCAGAGCCTGGTTTCCAGTACTCTTACCACTCTTGTATTTAATTTAGTAGAGCCTGAACTCAGAGCAGAATAATTGAGCTCCCGCACTTTATTTGGGCCGACCCACACTGGCTTTAGTTCTCATGCAGACTACTTCTGTCTTGTCTGACAATACCACAACTACTTACTGTCAGCCCTCCGCCTCAAGATTCCTGGCAGATTTGCATGGTCTACACTCCAAAGACCCTGCCCCATAGGGAAATATTTTTGGGGAGAGTCCAGAGTTTCACCCCCCAAATGTATCATCCAACTCCTGCCCTTCTTTGGTTCGTGATTCTTTCATCCTGCCCAGAGGCTGCATCTTCTGCCAAGGTCTTGGTAAGTGGGAGGGAAGGCAATACTCAGTTCTTTATTGCTAGACTCTAGAATCTGGTCAGAATATACTGAACAGGAAATAGCCAAATCCAGTGAGAAGCTCTCCTCATCCAGTGAGGCTAGCAAGTTCTCTGTCTGTAAGGACAAGGCTAGTAAAGATTGATTCAGGTTAGCTCCAGGGGCTCAGTCTCAAAAGGGTCTAGTTAAAGAAGCCCTGCTTAAATTTAAAACAAACCAAAAAACTAAGAAAAGCAGCAGGAGATTCACATCACAAGCTAGCACAGATTCCTTTATCCTAGCCATCTTCAATCTAGACACTTACACTGATTTCATCACTGTGGTACAAATGGCTTTTCTCTGTTGGAAGATAACTAGTAATGAGATGTATATCCAGAAGGCAGACAACACACAAAGTAAAAATATACATATAGCCAAAATAAGCTGAAGGAAACACAAGTAGTGGCAGAGGTCTTCCTTATCAAATGCTAGGGAAATTCTCTGAACTTGAGATGGAAGGCATTGAAGAAGAAACCCAAGAAAGGCTGCTGCTGCCTAAATTCTTCAAGATGGGTGAAAATGTTGCTAAATACGCTTGATATTCATAGCAAAATGAGGAAAAGGAACTCCAAGGGGAGCCTGTTTCCAGCGAAGTCCAAGAAGTTGCTCCCTTTCATGTAAACTTTCATGTTGGAATGGGAACCCAAAAGGAAAGAGCGCACGCACACGCGCGCGCGCACACACACACTGCTCACTTCATAACTGTGAGATTGCTTGCATCTTCCTTTGGATGGATGGATGATGGACCACACATCTGATCCTATATGGTTGTTCCAATTTCCTAAAAGGCAAAGCTGACTTCTACAGCCTCTAAAAGTAGATGCAGCAGTGGCCTCTTTAATCAAAAATACTGTCCTTCCATCTGAGAAGGGGGCTTTCACGAGCCCACTGGTACAAAATGATGATGCTGTGGCAGTCATGTTCAAATCATCGATCACAGTATTTCTAGCCTAGACAGATCTAACAGTTTTTTCCTTCCAAGTCCAACTGATTTTCAAATGTTCTCCCACTTTGATGAGAGAAGACTCTGTCTAATTCTTGTATAGGGTCTCTAAGGCTATGTCTACACTACCACTGGATCGACGCTCTGGCAATCAATGCACTGGGGGTTGATTTAGCGGGTCTAGTGAAGACCCGCTAAATCGATGGCAGAGCGCTCTCCAGTCGACCCAGTACTCCACCGGGAATGAGAGGAGCAAGGTAAGTCGACGGGAGAGTGTCTCCTGTCAACCCCTACGTCGACCTAAGCTACATCGACTCCAGCTCTGTTATTCACGTAGCTGGAGTTGTGTAATTTAAGTTTACTTACCGCAGTAGTGTAGACGTGGGCCAAGATTTGTGGCATGTGTAATGTCTTCCAGTGCAATCTCCAGAACACCTATATCTGAGGACTTCTTGTTGAACCTGGAAATCTACCTGCAGTGATGTCATCCAGATATTCTGCAGGTACATAGCATCAGCCTCTTTTAATTCGTGCCAGAAAGGCTAGCCCTCTTATGAGTCTTGTTTTCCCTGGTGCTTCTTTAAAAGAGCTTCTGGCTACTCCCAAGGAAGAGGATAGATATTCCCAAGGAGGAAAATCTAGGGTTTACTCCGTCTGGAATTTAAACACCAAAAAAATACATGGCTACCAGTTCTACCTGTCCAAGGATTCCTCTGCCCTTGGAAGAGGCTACTATTTTCAAGGATTGCTGGTCAAAGATCATGTGACTGGCACCAGAAGATACTACACCATGGGATTTTCACATTCCTGAGGAGACAGTTATATTCTTGCAGACCTCAAGGAACCTCTGCAGACAAAGCAATGTGTGAAACAGTCGCTCATCTTCTGAAGTTTGAGAGAAGTCTTATAGCATACTATACATCTATTGATCTAGACGATCTCCACATCCCAATTTCTGAAAGTCATTGGAGATGACTTAGTTTTGCATACTAGCTGCTTTCATGGGATGGGGAAGGAATCAAGGCATCACAACTTTTCATTCTGTGCAATGACTGACTTGTAAGGCACTCAGTACAGGGAGTATGGTAAAACTACTCAGATTTTCCAGGCAGAGGAATAGTCTGCCCTTGCCATGGATATTTTGTTCCAGCCTTGAAACAAGGAGCTTCTCTACTTCTGAGTGAGCCTTCTGCTTCGCAGAGCAATACCAAAAATGCAGTTGGAAAAAGTTGAAATACTTATAATTGCCCATACTAGCTGTGGCGGCCCTACACCTCTAATATCTTGGTCTTCTACATAGCACTGTCAACCCGTTTTCATGGGAGGGGGGAGTTTTCTGCTTGATCAAGGCTCAGTGACAGACCCAGGACTGCTCACTTCCAGTTAACTTGCCTCATCAAAACAAAGTTCAGTTTCTAAATGAAATAAGGAAGTATCCTCTGTTTTATAATGGAGGCTCCTATGGGCTCACAGCTATTAAACAATTAGACCCTGATTTATAATTGCATTTTAGAATAATTATTACAATGGAGATCAAACAAGATGAGTAGACTAGGTTTGAGATGGGCAAAAATTCTGCTGGAGAAGCCTTAAAATAATTATGGAACTAATTACACACACAATTGAAATTTTGGAAAAAACTAGTGAATTCTGAGGTATGGTATTGGGGAGGAGTGCTTCAGGAGATTGTCTTGGCTTTGCCAGCTTCATGTATTCAAAATCATTTTTCTGAAGATGGAATTATTTCACCTGAGAGACAAAAAGATAATGTGCATAATGTCAACAGAAATAATTCTCTCAAGACCCTGGAAGGACAACACATGTCTGATAGAAGCTGAATGGATAATGAGCTTAATTCCTGGCATCACAGAAGAAAAATCAATCAGACTATAGGACAGAGGTGACTTATTTAATGCTATATGAAAACCATATATGGACTATGTTCATGCTGATATTGGAAAATGAAATAGTAGTTTATCACTTCACTTGTGAATTTGATCCTACTTGCATTATGGAAAAAACGTTAACTTTAACCAACCTTGTTTTATGAATTTCTTTAGAAGAAACAAGCTTGAACATTTAGCAGCTTTAAGAGGGGAGACTTCTGCTGACAGTTTAATTAAAAAAAAAAATTAAGATGGTCAGGGAAAATATACTGATGTTGGTGAAGCTAGTAACATCATCCAGTCTTGGCAGGAATCTGCTATGAGGGTCTTCTGAATTAGTGGGTAAAAGTCCACGTCTGATGCAACAGATACTGTTTTGGGAGTCAGAGAATCCTTACTATGCATACATCCACAGTATTTGGTGAAAAATAGTGCTTTAGGGGCCCTTGATTGAAAAAAGGGTGGTTATATAGAGAATAAATCAAATCCATTCAGTTCAAAAAGTATGCCTGGCAAATAAATTGTATACAATACTATTTATCATGACACTAAAAATGTTTTGATCATAAATAGAAAAGGAGTTAAAGTTCAGGTGAAATTAACTTCATAGTCTTCATACATTACAACTTTACTTGATTGAGTGGGGATTTAAAATTTTCCAAAATGTGGCTTCAGATCTTTGTCTGATTTTTCTCTGACACAGTAACAGCATTATAGCCCCAAAGCAACAATATAGCAAAGTAAATGGCTAGTTTCCATTGGCTTTTACTGTTTGAGTATTTAGAGTATTTAGTGTGCTATATGTAAGTTTTTTTTTTTTTTTTCCCCCTGAGGAAATACTACTGCTACAGGATACTATTCAGTGGTTTGCATCCGTTAGCATAGTTTCAACTCTACTTCTTGTTAATCAAATCTTAAATGATAAAAAACTGACAGGTATTTTACCCGGACCATTTCAATAACACAAAGCTTGTCTACAACACTAATGTGTTGCACATTAATTGGACCATGCTGACTGCTGGTGTGCACTAAAGATTCCCTAGTGTTCTCTGACTTAGTGCTGCTTGAAACAGTACTATGTTAAAGCACGCTAGGGAACCTTTAGTGCACACCAGCAGGGTATTCACGCAACAGTTAATGCACAACATGTTACTGCACTTCAGAAATCACACCTCCCATAGTGTGCATTATCCCACTGTGTAGACAAGCCCTTATTGATAAGCTTTTTCACCATAATTCTGTTAATTTTAAGTATAATCAATGGTACATGTAAAATAATGTCTGAGATGTTCCTGTATATTTGAGATTGAACTTCCACTCTGATTTCTCTTAAAAATGTGAATTATTTGAATACTAGCATTATGGATAAGATTAATCACATAAGGAACACACTATCTGTGCTAGGCAATAATTTTTGTTTTATGGTGACAAGATAATCCTAGAAGAGCATTTAGTGTGGTGCAGTTTCATTTCCTTTCACCAGTGCTATTGACAAAATACATTTTTACGTTTGTTTTGCATTTTGAAGTAACACTTTCCTTTCTCCCTCCAGAGTCTGTGGACGAGAAAACACAAAGATTCCCAAATGAATAACCGAAAGGAAGATATGGAGATTGCCTCCCATTACCGTCATCTGCTTCGTGAGCTCAATGAGCAGAGACAGCATGGCATCCTCTGTGATGTTTGCATTATAGTGGAGGGGAAGATCTTTAAGGCTCACAAAAATGTTCTGCTCGGGAGCAGCCGCTACTTCAAGACTCTTTACTGCCAGGTGCAGAAGACATCTGACCAGGCCACAGTCACTCATTTAGACATTGTAACTGCACAGGGCTTTAAAGCCATCATTGACTTCATGTATTCTGCACACTTAGCATTGACGAGCAGAAATGTCATTGAGGTGATGTCAGCTGCTAGCTATCTTCAAATGACTGATATTGTACAAGCGTGTCACAATTTCATAAAAGCAGCTCTTGACATAAGTATAAAGTCTGATGCCTCAGATGATCTTGTTGATTATGAACTTGGGGCCGCTTCCAGCAGTAGTACAGATGCTTTGATTTCAGCAGTGGTGGCTGGTAGGAGTATTTCTCCGTGGTTAGCTCGACGAACAAGTCCAGCGAACTCTTCTGGAGATTCGGCCATTGCTAGCTGTCATGAAGGAGGGAGCAGTTATGGAAAAGAGGATCAGGAACCAAAAACAGATAGCCACGATGACGTTTCATCCCAGTCTCTTTGGTCCGGTGACATGGTCTATGGGTCTTTGCGTATCAAAGAGGAGCAAATTTCACCATCTCACTATGGAGGGAATGAATTGCGTTCTGCCAAGGATAGTGCAATACAGAACGCTTTCTCGGAACAAGGAGCAGGGGAGGGCTGGCAACCCACTGGACGCAGAAAGAATCGAAAAAATAAAGAAACTGTGCGTCATATTACACAGCAAGTAGAGACTGACAGCCGGGCAAGCTCTCCAGTGCCAGCTTTTTTATCTGCCTCAGGATGGCCGTACAACAGTCGTGACTCAAGTAAGGGTTTTGGTTTTTTTTTCTTTTCATTTTCAGCAATGAGCAGCTGTAGTAATGCAAATATAGACAGTATTTGGCTTATGGCACCCTGTTGTCATTCACTGAAATAAAAATATTAAGAACTTCTGGGGATTGATAATGGAATATAGAACCTTTTATCTTTAGGTCATTTATCCAAACTTATCTCTGGATAGTAGAGAACTGAAGCCATAGTCATCTCATAGATATTAATTTGTCTGTGAATAAAATAGTGCCTTAATTCAGGTCCTGGATGTACAATTGTCTGTCACCAAAACTGCCATTCTTAGTAGCAGTGTTGGTAAAGGATTGAAATTGGACTTGCCCACCTGCTAAAATAATCATTTCAGGTCAGGGCTGAGGAGCACTGGTTGTATAGAGTAAGGAGTCTTTTAATTGCTACTGCATGTGCTCTAATCTCTCCATCTTAATGAGACTACTGTTTCTAACACTGCCTTCTGGTACCTACAGAAGCGCCAGTTTCACTCTTATGGCCTACTTAGATCACTCCTCAATGGAGGAACAGCTATGGTGTTGACAGAAGGGGCAATTAAGGACAACATAGCATCCACGTTCCTCCTTAATCAACTGTCAGCCAAGTGTTTAGTGGCTTTAAGAATGGAAGTCCTCATGTAGTTTTATGGTTTAGACCCTCTATTAGTTTATTATGAATATCTGCAGTCTTTCAGATGAGCAGCTTTAAATGCGTTGCAAGGGAGACAAACACTCTTCGACTGTTTTGAATCTTCATCAGTGTTTATCTTTAAAATAATATGAAAATTGTCTAGCTACATTCACTTTATCCACCAATTATTTAGGTTCAAGAATAAATATTTGCCTGTCAAAATTATGGCTGAGATTTTCAAAGGAGCCTGAGCATGTTAAGTGCCCAACTGCCATAGAATTTCAATGAGTACAAGGTGCTCAACTCCCTTGGCCTTCTTTGGAAATCCCAGCCTGTTATGAGTTATTAACCAAATCTACGTTACTGCATGCTGGTATGTAAAGCCAGGAAAAGGGGAGGGGTGTGTGTGTGTGAGAGAGAGAGAGAGGTGTAATGTATAAAGTAAATACGATTATGTTTTCATATATCTTGTAAGAAACCACTATAATTTTAGGAAAAAATTCTACATAATTGATACTATTTGAAGTTGAAGGGCAGTATTAGTGAAATATTTGTGGTCTGGAATTTGAATGTTAAATGTCATGGAAAGTCAAATTAGATGGAATGAGTAACAGTCTAGAAATATTTTTGGATTTATTTTGTTGTGTGCAGCAACAAGCTTGCATATAATTTTGATCATCCTTATTGGTTTAATGATAAAAACCTAAACAATTTTAATTTAAAACCAACAATGCTAAATGATAATATTGGCTTACAATGAATTTTGGATTTATAGTTCTCAAACTTCAGAGTATTCTTGAATAAAGCCTGTTGTTCCCGTTAAGTGCCTATGATGTTATTCAAGCATAAGTATTTCTGGCTTGCACACCACCCCATAAAAACCACTCAAGCATTTATATTATTCACACTGCGGACATTTTTGGACTGGTTTATAGAGTAAAATACAGGTATGCTGAAATGGCTGCAAAAATGGAACTGCAAAACTAATTGCAGGGATATGTTCGAGGATTGTTTTTAAAAGTATAGTTTCTTAAAACATACGTCAGAGATATTGAGTGGCATAATACAAGAGATTCTGCTGTTGGAATTAATAGGGTCTGTGTCACTGAGTTCCTAATTATTAAGATACTGAACAGTATTAACTTGAAAATGGTCACAAAAACACCCTACCCCCACCCAAGAGATTTCCAGCATTGATTCAGAGCAGTCTTCAGACATCTGCTTCAGTGGACACTATCAAATAGTTTAGGATGGCCTTAAATCTACATTTTGTGTGTTAAAACTAGGGCTGTCAAGCGATTAAAAAAATTAATCATGATTAATCACACTGTTAATAATAGAATACCACTTATTTAAATATTTTGGATGTTTTTCTACATTTTCAAATATATTGATTTCA